AAAACTGGTTGCAAGAGGGTTACACAACAAAGCCAAACTCTTCTTGGTCAGGGCAGATGATGGTGTAAAAAGTAGCAAAAACATGAAGAAGGAAAAGGCATTTATGCAACTGTGACACATAGTGACTGCTTAAAACATTCATCCCGTGTGTTCCTCTAGTGGAGTGTGAACAGACAACTCCACAAACACTGTGTGCGCTGTTGGCTGAGGGACTCAGCAGCTGTAGCAATGTCTGGTATCATAACATTTGTAACTGAAAACTATACAAAATGCAAGCCTGAAACAGAGAAACATTAATGTTACATTAACTTATTGAAAGCTAAATGAATACTTTCTAGATCTGATTTGGTTTGCTCTTCACACTCCTTGACTACTTCTATTATTTATGAGGACTCTTCCATAAGAGCTTTTCAACTCCTTTTGAATTAAAGGAATAACTCTAAGAATTAAACATTTCAGAACTGATGAAACTATTTCTTTCTCTCTATTTTGTTATAAGTCTGTTTCTATGAGAACAAAAGAGTTAAGGCATAAAAATTGTGTCTGACAGCCATAATGTCACTTTGTAGCTAGAGGGAACATTCCTGCTGTCACTAAAATACCGCCGATGTAGCCAATTGAACAAAAATGGTACTGTCTAAACAAACTCAGCACACAATGGTTAGTTCCTAACTTCAGAGGTTCAGCAGACCAACTGTGCTCCAGACAATGCTGAGTTTGTTTAAAGTGTAATACATTTAGTTGTGCATGCTTATATATGAGTTATTGTAAAGTTGCTTCAGGCTAAATTCATTTCTGCTGCAACACCACTGAAATGAATGTACTTACAACAGAGATTAATTTGGCCCATTATGTACTAAACTTGCAGATCTTTCTTTCTTTAAAAAGGAACTATTCTTTTTGCAATTGATTTCATTCACTGGAGTCATTTAAACACAAAGAAAGTCTTATCTGTGTTACCCCGGTGTGGTGGAGTTATACTGGATTTACGTTGTTGCAACTAAGAGAATTCTTTCAGCTGAAAATAAAGACAGCTGCCCAAATTACATGCAGATCACTGCACTTCTCCCATACACCCAAAAACTTGTAATGCACATTTCAGTGGCATGCATGACTTGCTACAGCAGCTGTAGGGAAAAGGAATTCCTGATACACAAAACTTTGTTAGAAAGCTAGGTCATGGCTTTAGCTGTAAGAGATTTCAACATCTCAGCAAATAGATTTAAGCTTTTCCATTATGCATGGACAGCAAGCAGTCCATGCTTTCTCCAACTTATGGGGCAGCCATGGAATTATTTTGCCACGTGGATCATCTACAGAGATGGTACATCAGCATTCTGAGTATGAAAACTGGGTTTGAACTCAAGGATGGATTCAAAAATAAGATTCAAAATAACTAGGTGTCTAAAACAAAACTATAAATTAAATTACTGAGGCATTTTATATGGTCTCATCTTACACAGGAAGACAAGAATCTCTTCCTAGTCTTAAGCAAGTTCTGAACCTGAACTAAGCCCCACAGCTTGAATGCGTCAGGAGCGAGCTGTGCTGGCGGGCTGCTCGGAAGGACTGCTGCTGCCTGCTGCAAGAACGGCATGGAGGCAGCCCAAAGGCAGGCACTTGCAGCTCCACCTGCAGCCACAGATATGCTGAAAAGAGACTCCACTCCAGTAAACAATAAAGAGCAGAGATTTTAAAAATACATCCTTAAAGTTAGACACAGAATTCTCATGTAGGCCACAGCAAGAGGCTGGTGCAGACTGCATCCTTCTCCATGCTACAAAATCCCAAAACACGGCAGTCACTAGCACAGCCCCATTCACAGACAAATGTAAATGCAGGCATTATTTTGTAGACTCCTGGTCAAGAATTTTGCTCTCAAAGCATTGGGCTGCACTACTTTAGTTGAATACAGAGTTTAAAAGACTACAGGATGTAGAAATTCCAGAGAATCAGCCATGTGTGTTTCTGGTATCCTAGCTGGCTTTGCTACAGGTTTTTCTCCCATAATGAAAACGATTCTTTCCCCTCAGAGTATCCATAATCCAAACACAGTGAGTTTGCTTAGGCAAAACCTCCTTAGCTGCTTACTTCTGCATTTTGTGCAGAATTTATATAGCAAACCCCACTACATAAGACATGCAAAGTAAACAGTAGGTTCCTCTGCGGGGCAGGATAGTTCAACCATAATTATCCCTTAGTCTCTGCTCAAAAGACCACAACATGCCTTAAAACCAAAATCTTTAGAAAGTTTAATCTTCTCAGGCAGGGGAGTGAGATATATGATCGGTGATAATTGTTTGCTCTTCCTTTTTAGTTTTCACTGAATTGAGTATAGACATAGAATCTATATTCTCACATGAAAAGTAAAGGTTTTATTTCACTTTATTCCATCAATTCACCGACTTTGGTGGATCCTGTGCAAGCACAAGAAGAATGTATACCAACAAAAGATGAATTGTCTTTTTGAGACAATTGTGAACTTGTGAAGCCCTTTCTGTTAAAAAAAAAATTCCTAGAAATCATAGGAACTCTTTAAAAAGCCATGTCTCATGCTACTTAGAAATGCAAAGGTCTGGACATTTTAATATATTTTATCATACTTTCATGGGACAAATAAATAAGAATGGTGAAGAACTGCAAGTATTTGATTTTTTTTTCCCCCTCTCAGGAGGCAACCTCTAAAATTACAGAGATCTGGCTGAAAAAATGTTAGAGATGGCTACATTAGTGATGCAAACACAGCAAGCCTGGGCAGTTCTTTGTGACCTTGGTGTCAGTCTGCTCATTGCTACTATCCATGACACCAGGAACCTCAATCTATAGCCACTGTCATAAGTGACTCAAAGATATACAGACCACATACTGCACAAAAAAAGAAAAGGAGGTGACTACCCACACAGGACAGCATTTTGCTGCTATGTACCACTATGCCTCTTTAAAAATGAAAACAAACCTTGCTCAATGAAGAACAGCTGGTGCAATCCAACTGCCCTACTAATGCATCAATAGTAATTAATGATACCTGTAATTCTGACATAATATCACATACCTGCACCTGCTAAAATATGTCCTTCCTCAAACACCCTGTCTTCCTGGACTACGACACTCTAAGAAAAACAGTCTTCCTAGATCATCTTTATGAGAAAGCTCTCTTCAGTTTTGTGGGTTTGGATAAGCATCTGCTTACTCTATTGTCTGCTGAAAATAGACACAAAGGCAATTAGACTTCATACACATTCAGTTGCCAAAAGTGATCAAAATGTCAGAGCTATTAAGACCTCGCTATCTGACATCTGTTTCCTTGAGAGGCAACGTATTGCCCTCATTCCCATCTCAGCTACAGTGTGGGGAAACACTGATGGTGTTAGTTAAAGCCCATTCTTAGTGCAGTCACAGTGAAAATGCTTGCTGAAGCCCAGCTGATTGTTCCTGTGCCAAATCCCTGGGAACTGCAGCAGCAGTACAGGGCTGTGTGAAATGCTCCTCATTTGGCTTTCAGCATAACTGTTGACATTTACTGGAGCAGGTTAGAGAGTTCGCCCCAGCACACCTCTTTTCATTACTATCAGAACCTTCAGGGTGCCCTGACACAGCTGTGGATGAGGAGGGCACAGCTCTCATGCTTTTTCTCCAGAAAGCATGAGAGCTACCTCACTCAATGTGGCAGTAAAAGGCTCCCACACCATCAAAAAGGCCTTCAGAGACCAAGTGGATGCAAGGTGACAGCAGTGGCTTTGTCCCAAGGGAGGGAGAGTCCATGACCAAGCAGGGTCTGCACTGCTGATGCTCTCAGCTCCCTTGGGAGTACCTGTCTGTTCTTCAATTGACAAAATTGTGGAATATGCATCTAAATAGAAAGTTTGCCAGATATATTTGTAGAAAAAGTTGCTCTTGGTCAGAGGCAAGTGAGTTATCAGCTAGTATTACCATACAACTTAGCATACTTCCTCAGCTTATTATTGCTAAGCACAATCTTAGTACTACTCCTATCATACACCTGACAGCCTGCTTTACCCCTGCCAGTCATCAGAGATAGTAAACAGTCTGGTTTACCATATGGATACATCAGATAAAGCAGAGACAGCACTGCCTGAGCACAAGGAGGCACCGTAAAAATAAGCTTCACCGTAATCCCATGAGAGAAAAACACTCAGTACTACAGGGCAGAAAGTGTCTTGACCTGCCAGGTCCATGTAATAATAATGAAATGTGCTGCAGATAAAATAATGTTTTACAAAGCCTTCATACTTAACAGTTCTGGAAGACACACAGTCTTGCCTACATTGCTCCTTCCACAAGTAAAACTTCTCAGAAATCTGGCCCTGGCCTCTTCATGGGACTAGACAATGTTTAGACTGACTTGCCTTTAGCACATCGTACATTTTCAGTGCAGAACTGAGTTAGACTTCTGCATTCTAAACTGTGAACATTCCTATTAGGGGCAAATCAGCAAATTTAAAATGCAGTGGACACCCCACATTATCCCCAGCAAGGACACACTTACCCTGCACTAAAACCCTTCATGCATTTATAGGTAACAGTCTCATGGCACAGCAGCTAGATGGTTAAATCAAAGTTAGTGTGTCAGCACTGAGGGGAAAGGTGGGAGTCACTGCCAATGCCACACTACACGAGATGAACAGTGACTCCTGTGTCAAGGCAGGAGCCAAGGGTGAAGCCTGGATTTGGTGGAAGGCAGAAGCAAACCTCCCACTGATGTCAAGGTAGTCAGTATTTCACCTTTGCACATGCTCAAGTGGGTCTTGTTCTCACCTGTCTTCTGGACCACGAACTTCCTTTGAAGCCACTGGGAGCTCTGCAGGGAGACAGGGTTCAGCATCCAGTTTTCCAAGAGATGCAGTTCAGTGAGCACTTCACATGATGAAGGGAAGCAGCAGTGTAAGTGAATAAAGGGAGGGAGCTAACTCTTCTGTCACATTGGTATTTCAAAAGACCATCTACACAACCATGAAAATTTAATCTAGAAGAGACAATGCTGTGGTACAAAAAGTTTATTTAGTCACAATTTTGTAAACATATGAGGTAAATTAACATTTACATCAACTTGCTTCTTACAGAATTTAATATACAAGGCACTTCTCTGAAGACAGTACTGTTCGCTGGTTTTATTGTTACTACAAGTTCCTGATTGCCCAGAAAACTTGCTATGTTTTTTGTCAGATTCTATAATGTAAAAGACAAACATCTGGAAAGCAACAAGAAAGTTCTGAGTAAGCTTTCTTATGCTTTAGAACCCTTTAACTGTGAGAAACAGTGGCAATGCAAATAGCAATGTACTCTCCACCTTAAAATATGCTCACACATCTTGCATAACTCTTCAAGAACTGAAAACGCTAGAATTAGATTGGCATCTTACAGCAAACTGAAAATGCAAATCTACAATTTCTTTAATACATCAGTGGTTTTAGTTTATGCAAATACTCCCATTGCCTTTAATGGTCTTATTGGCAGAAGTTAAAATAACTTTCATGAAATTGTATTTGCAGGCTCAGAACCATATTTTTGCCTAGAAAGCAAAACATCTCATTTATTTTTTTTGTAAAATCTTCTACAGTGTAACAGTGCAGTGTTTATTCACAAGTATTTGTTTGGAATTTTAAACCAGGCTGTAAATTTAGCTCATAAAAGACATATGTCACACCTAATTTTTGTCATTGAAGCTCTAAACACACAGGAAAGCATATGAACAACAATGAACCTCAGTTGATTTGGCAATAATTGAATTCATGATGAAAAATAATTTTTTCCTTGGTGTGCTCCCTATATATCCAAGGCCCATATTTTAATTATACAGACAAAGCTGATACTATGCATCAGTGATCAGGTTAAATTTAATGGTACTGCCTTATGGCTGAAGAATTCCTGTGTTATAGTAAGACATTTCTCTCTCTTTTAACATATTGGCAGAGTCATTCTTTTACTTCTTATACAAATGTAAACTTAGAAAACAGTTTATTTCATCCAAATGTGCAATCTTAAACCAAAAACTGAATGTAAACTTCAGAAAATCAAAATTACAAGAGCACACTTTTCAGAAGAAGAATCAAAGCATAACATTTGGAATTAAAAAAAAAAAAAAACAACAACCCAGCCTGTTCAAATGGTGTTAGTGTCTGGATAAAACAAAAAGACCTGGGGGCTCAACACTCTGCTCCTGCAGACTGCTGTCACCCACATGAACTCAGTGGAATACAAGTTTGGAGCAGCTGAGGAGGTGGTCCCATAACTAACCAAAAAAGGACCTAAATAATGATTTGATTTTTAAAGCTTGCTTTTATGATTTTACTGATCCTACACTTATGTATTCATACCATAAAATAACCTTAAGAGCTGCATAATGTCAGACATTTAATTAGCTCTAAGTGCCTTGTTGAACAACAAATATACTGCAAAAAGAGTAGTACATCATACACCTGGTAACTTGTTCAAAGAGTATCTTTTCTCAGTTTCCATACTTCACCTCAGCACATTTTTTAACCTCAAGTAAGAGAGAGAACAAGTTTTCCCAAAATTATTCTACTCAAAGAGCAAAAATTAGTGTTGGTTTTGTTGGTTTTTTTTTCCAGTCTGCTTAACATCAGGCATGATTCTGTTCTGACTTCTGCTTTTGTGATAACTTACCTACAGATTTCATCTTAGCTGTGCACTTGAGGCCTTTCAAAATTGTGGCTTGAACAGCCACATGACTGGTTAAATCAGGACCTGCTACCAGTTCCCATGAAATTCTGTAATTAATTGACAGGAAAGAGTCAACAACTTAGAAATTAGGAGATAATTTTTGCCAATAGACTCTATTCTGCAAGTCAGTGGGTGTTCATACATATTTTCTAGAACTGCAGAATTCTACACAGAATTCAGCACTTGACTCACAGGATGCTGAATTCAGTGATCATTCATGAGTAAAGATTAAAGTCCTCAAAATCAGCCACACCAGTAAGATTTTTCTTTCAACAAATCCAAATCCAGATGTGACATGGCAACTACAAGCAGTTGTAAGCTCTAAGGAGGAGTTCTGCCCCAACAGTTACCTGCCTTAAATGAAGAAACAGTTACTGGAGTCCAAATGAAACTGTAGGCAATGAAGAGGCTTGACGCTGCATAGATACGTGATGGAACTTAAGCTGATCTTAAAAGCGCAACCTGTGAGCTGTAGCTTTGCTTTCTCAGACCAGGACTGCCTGGATGCAGAGGCTGCTCTCTCAGACTTCTCTTAGGGGTTGCAATAGAGTTACATTTCTCCCCCCGAGCTTCACCTAACAGGAAAAACCATCTTTTAGAGCTTTCCAGTAGTTACTCTGGCTGAAAATACCATATATTCCACAAAAGCATCTGAACTTTGTGCAGGTCTAACCACACACATTAACTTGAAAAGGTCAGCCTAGGTCTCAGTTGACCCTAAGCTAAATCTACCTCTCTTACTACTTTTTATATACAATATGGATGCAATCCTGCAGGACACACTCTGTGAGGATAGTACTAAAGTAAGGGCTGCAAGATGCAGAGCCCCATCAAACATCATCAGTTTTGCTCTCAGGAAGCGATATAAAAAAGCACACATTCCAGGTGGTCTGGTTTATATAAATACACTCCAGAAAGACTTTGACTTCACTCTTCAGAAGCATAGAACAAAGGAAAATGTAGTCTATAAACTCCAATGTACTAAAACACAGAGATGCATATATTGCATTATTTCAGCAATGTAGTTAACGGGCATTTATCAAAACTTACAAAACTGCTACTATAGATGCTAGTAAATCTTAAAATTTTTAATCCTAATCTCTGCCTTTGTTTACATCTAGGCAACTTCATCAACTTTAGTCTATGTTTAGCATAGTTGCATGGATTCAATAGAACGCAGAACTTGGCTTTTAGTTTTCTTGCAGAAAGGGTTTTTATGGCTTTAACACAGAAAATCCATGAGAGCATGGCTGAAGCTGAATACTTAATAATAAATATCTTTATTGTACTACTACACATCGACTTTTAATGCAGCAGCTGCCCTTAAGAGCCATGGCAGCAGAAGGACTTCTCCTCACCTGGTTCAACACAAGCAGGACAAGGAAGTCATGAGACAACATGCCCAAGGGTTGCAGAACAGTGCTGCTGATCATGAGAAGCTCTTTGTGACTACTCAGAAAGCAGCAAAAATGTTTAGTCTTGAGTGGTGGGAATATATTTTGACTCTTGAATAAAATAAGCACACTCAGGAAAACATTTAACAGCAGAAATAACTGGTAATGTTAACTACTTGCTACAGGTTGACTCTGCTTTGCCTGAGTAAGGACTGCACTGCCAGGCCAAACACTTTGAAGATGCAAAGGGTTATCCCAGTGTGTTTGATTGTTCTTTTCTAGTTACAGTACGTTCGGTTTATAGCAGCAACAGGACTGACTCCAAGCTTTAGTTCTTTTGCATTTTGGTTAGAACAGAAGCTAGGCTTAATTCTGTATTCCTTCTGTACTGAAACTCTCCTGAGCCTACTCAGGCACGCAGAATTCTAACACCTTGTTTAGGAGGGAATAAAGGACAGAGCCTGTTGAAAAGAAAGATGCACCTTAGAAAAAAAACCTTAGTACTTTCCTTCACCCATTTTTAAGGGACACACACATTTTTCAAAAGCAGGATTTCAATGTCTTTTCAAAGGCCCAAAATCTAAGGCTCCCAAAACCTCATGTGAACGTTAGTCTTGCTTGAATAAGGCCTGCAAGATACATTCCCAAATCTTGCTCCTTGTTAAATTGAATGGAAATTCTGAAAGCGACTTCAGTCGACTTCAGACCCTTCAGCCACCACATTGCCCAGATATTTTAGCCACTTTTTCTGCAATACAATATTATCTAAGTCTGTTTTCACTGACCTAAAGACACTACAGATTGATGTTAAAGGGTACACAACAGGAAATAATGTTGATTTGGGAATTTCACCATTAGTAAGTTCTTTTGCTTTTACATTTTCTTGTCAGATCAAAGATCAAACTAAAATTATTAAGTACACAGTCAAGTAACTTTAAACCTAAAAATTATTCTCAAAATGTTCAAATACTTAAAAATAAGCACTCAAATTTACTTCTAAAAAGCATTTTTCCAACAAACTTATGCTGATATCTATTAGTCTAAAATGCAGAGCTGTACTTTATCCTAATTGTTTGTCCACGGGCAATGTATGGAGCCACAGTGTATTGAAATCATAATCCTTGCTTTCTGAAGAGAAATTGTTCTGTGTAATAATTTCCGAAGTGTGGTTTGAATTCCTGTCCTCCTGTAAGCAATTTTACAAGTCAGCTAAAATTATAGTCAAACATGCTCAAACATATTTGCAGGCTTATAAACATGGTGTGATCATGGCTGGCAAACACTGGATAGAAGGTCAAACTGAACACTTCCTAAGAGGTCAAGAGTAAAATAAAAAAGTTATGGAAATAAGAACCTCAAAAATCTATTCCAGGGGTTCCCTAAACTTTGCCTGGCTGAGGACCGCATCGGTGACTTGCCATGAACACAAAGGCTTCATAAGGCATGTTATATGTAAGAAACTGAGTTACCTTTAATATGGCAAGTTGGTCCGTAGACACAACAGGTGCCAAGAGGCAATATACCACCCTGATGTTTGCCACAGGGCTACGTAAGATTTAAGAGGAAGAAAGTAAGTCATTGCATCTGCTCATGTAGAGTTTCTGGGAAAGAGCTGAAGTGAAGGCAAGGGCAAGAGGGAGATGACAGCCAGGTGCACGGGCACCAGGGATATTAACATCTTTCTCAGATGAAAGTCAGCCTCAGGGCGCTTGACCAGCTACCATCGCCACCTGTCATCTGTGCAGGCCTCCCCTACGGCTGCCCTTGAGGGATCTGCTGCGAACATGAAGGAAAGTGGGACTGGTCCCCTGGCCCACGTGCTGCGCTTCGGTCACCCCTGACCTATTAGAAAATGTTGATAATTTTCCCCACTACAACTCACAGAGTGCAAAAACAGCAAGCGTCTAAGTTTGAAGCCCAGGCCTCCTCACCCACGCCAGGCCTGGCCTCCCCAGGCAGCTCCCCTGCCCACTGCGCCTTGCACCACCTGCTCCCCGAGCAGGGGCCACCGCCTTACACGGCCAGGTCGTCCGACCGGGCTCTGCAGCTGCTCGACTTACTGGCCCTGCTCAGGCGCCGCGCGTCTACGAGCAGCGGTGGCTCGTGCATCTCCACCGTGGTGCAGGCCGCCGAGACGGGCCGTGCCCCCGACAGCTCCACCTCGCCCTCCACATCCCACTTGCTGCCGCTCGCCCCGCTCAGGCTGGCGCTGCTGCCGCTGTTGGCTGCGGCAATGGGCAGCACAGCCGGGGGTGGGAGTAGCTGCTCCAGTGGCTCTTCCTGCTCAGGAAGGGGATGCCGGACGCTGCTGGGGGTAGAGGAGCCTGCTGAGCTGGAGGAAACCTTCCCCTGGTGCTCAGCTGCCACGTTGGCCCAGTTCTGCTCGGATGTCCGGGCACGGCTGCTGCTGTTGAAGTAGTTGATGACGGCTGGCGTGGGCGTGGGGATGGGGGTCGGGATGGTGACGGGAGTGGAGATGGGCGTGGGAGTCACAGCACGGTGCCTCTCCTCAGGAACTTGGGGAGCAGCAGGATAGCTTGCCATGGACGTCGTGTTGGAGGGGGGCCGTGGTCTTGGAGCAGCTGTGGCATAGTACGATGCCATGGTCACTGGGGCCAGCAGCGGTGTGACAGCGCGGGTGTCAGGCAGAACGGGGGCCGGTGTGGCAGCCGTGACCACCACTGGTGGTGCTGGCGGAGGCAGGGAAACAGGTTTGGACTCCCCTGTTACCATAACTGGTGTCATTGTTGCGACAGGCATCTCTAGGATGTACTGACTTGTCATGCCCTGCTTAAGTTTCTTCCACCCCAAGTGATATATCTCAAGCATGTTCAGCAGCAGGGAGACTGAGGCCACCACCAACATGAAGATGATGAAGATTGTCTTCTCAGTGGGTCTCGAGATGAAGCAGTCCACAGTGTGTGGACAAGGTGAGCGGCTGCACTGGTAGACCGGCTTTAGCTCGAAGCCATATAGGAAGTACTGGCCCACAATGAAGCCCACCTCAAACAGTGTCTTGAATATGATATTGAAGACATAGGTACGGAGCAAGGCACCCCCCATACGGATTCTGCCACGTTCGTCACGGATTGGGAGCTTCTCCTTCCCCCTTTTGACAATAGATTGATCTTTGGCATTATTACTGCCTCCTCCACCACCGCTGCCAGATGCTGCTGCTACTTGGTAGTTGCCATCTTTGCTGCTTCCCTTCTTTTTCAGCTCCTCTTTCTCTTTCCTCTTCTCCTCCATGCGTACAATGTGCAGGACATGGCCCAGGTAGATGAGGGTCGGAGTGGAGACAAAAATGATCTGCAGCACCCAGAAGCGGATGTGAGAAATGGGGAAGGCTTTGTCATAGCAAACATTTTCGCAACCAGGTTGCTGAGTGTTGCACGTAAAGTCCGACTGCTCGTCTCCCCAGACCTCCTCAGCAGCAGCCCCCAGCACCAGGATCCTGAAGATAAACAGTACCGTCAGCCAAACCTTGCCAATAACCGTGGAGTGCTCCTGTGCATTCTCTAACAGTCTCCCCAGAAAGCTCCAGTCACCCATTGCTTCAGATTTCTAACCTACAACAAGAACATCAGAGCAATTAGAGCAATGTTAAAACACCTTGTAATTGCACAATGCTGGAGCAGAACAGATTGATCCTTGACAAATCATATTTCTTATCTTGCTTCTGCAGAATACTGCACACATACTTTAAGAACCCTGGGACCACGCAACCATGGGCTTTGGTAAGCACAGAAGGGAGATGTTTAAAATGCTCTCACAGAGCCCATACAGGCCTATACACAACTGGCAAGAAGGATTTGTAAGTTAGATTTTCTACAAAATTTAAACGTTTTTAAAAGCATTATTTCTGTTTCCTTTGTCTGAGATGGCTCTATCTGCTCCTGCTTTTATTTAGAAAAGATCAAGTAGAAATCAGATCAATTAAACAGAATAATGCTACTATTAATGCACATACACTTGTATCCAGAACGTGATGCAAAGTTTGCCTAACTCTAATAATTTTATTGTTATCAGAACATATTTACTCCAGCAATTAGAAAGTTAGTAATAGGTCTTTGCTATTTTCAAACTGTACAAACAGAGAAAAATAATTACTCAAAACCTATGGAATTTACAGTTGAATTTTGGAATTTGTGTAACTCAACAAGCACATTCTCAAAGCCTAATCATGTTTAAATATGTTTATTTATTAAAAAATCCAGACATTTTAATAACTTGAAATATTGGGAAGAATGAGAAATTCTTTAAGGAATGGTGGAAAGGTTTCTCTGCTATTTCCCCTACTGTACTGGCAGTTTGCGTTACTGAATCATATCTACTGCAACATCATTAAAACAAAACAAAACAAAACAAAAAACCAAAACAAGAAACTCAAGGTCACTTCAGCAACTATAATACGGAGATTTTCTTGGAAAAAAACAGAATTACATCCTATGACCTTATTTCTGTGACAAACAACTGGCATATATTCTCAGCAGTTTCCACCAATTCATGCATGATGGGCCTCCCAAGTCCAGTTCTAGGCAGAGACACAATTGTTGATTTGGAAAGGCTTAAAGTGCAAGATTTTTTTTTAATATCAGATTCCTCACAAGCTTCCTCCAATTGAGAAAAAAGAGAAACCTCCTGGTATCACTCCTCTTATCCTTGGCCTGTTCCTAACTGGCTTATATATAAGAATACTGGAATATATATTATATATAAGTACAATTAATTTCCCTAATAAACTCACTTCTGTATTTTATATGTCAACCTTCAACTAAAAACAAAATTTAAAAATTTGCTTTCAGCTAACTTCAATACCTTCAGAAATACTTGTATCATAATTGTAATTCAGATTTAACAATTTGCATACCAAAAAAACCAACCCTATCAGAATAGTGATTGTCTTCTTGTTTAAAAATCTTAGAATATTATCATATATAACTTGATTACATCTTGCTATGCTTATAATTCTTATCCAAACACCTGTGTGTTTTACAATTCCTGAGAAAAAAAAAGTTGTTCATCGCTAGAGCTAGGAATTTACCACTAAAGAAGTGTACTATTCTCATCATTATATGAATGTAATTTCCAGCAATTATGTCACTGGTTTTCCAGAAGAAGCATTTCCAAAGTCTATCCTGAACTTCTTTCAGGTTTTTAGTTACGCAAGGAAAGAAATTAAATTTATTTAAGGTACTTTTTTATAATTTGATTTTACTGTGAAGCAACAAAATACCTATAACTGCAGAGCAGTATGCTTTCACACAAAAAGCAACAACACACCCATTAGTATTTTGCAGTTCTATAAATCCTGGTATACTAACTCATTTTTCATCACACAAAGTTAATTTAATAAAAATTCCCTCTAAAAATAAATCTTTGCTATTCTTCAAAAACGCATTCCTTTCAATACAAGTGAATTCTTCTTCCAATGTAACATGATAAACTACAAACGATGACACTAACAACAAAATACTGATTTTGTGTACATATGTTCCCTGAAACATTTTGTTTTAAATATATTCAGATTCCTTTTGAATAATGTATTTTTTCTCCTCTTAAAACAGTAGCCCAAAACTGAAAAAAATTTTTATAGTATTTTTATAGTCTTAATTTAATATGTTTATATTACTTTAAATTTTAACCATCCATCTTAATGTTATAATGTTTAAAATATTTTGGATGGTTAAGTAATTTTAATCTTGACAAATAATAATTTTTACAACAGTAATGAATTAATTTTATACTTTTTTTTTCAATTCAAAATCATTTGAAGATATACCCAGTTTAGTTCCAGCTTTGAACAGAACTAAACTGTTGTTTGGGCATGTTATCATTATGAGTGGGAAAATGTAGGAAAAGCAAAATAAATAATGTGATATTTATTAAAGAAGCTTAGCATAAACCCAAGTTCAATATTTCCTTTCTCTGCTATTCTTTACATTATTTTGTGCCTCTCAGTTTGATAGTGCCTCACTCTTTATTTTCCACATTAAAGAAGCTTAGCATAAACCCAAGTTCAATATTTCCTTTTTCTGCTATTCTTTACATTATGTTGTGCCTTTCAGTTTGATACTCTCTGCTTCACTCTTCATTTTCCATGCAGATAAAACAAAATAGGCAGCTCAGGTAATGAGCAGGCACTGATGTCTACAATGAAAACAGGACATTTTGTGCTTCGGTGAGGATTTGTCTATTGATTAACAGAAAAACATTAAAAATTTTTAGAACTTAAAGATGGCAAATAATAAATCCATCTAACTTAACCATTCTCCAATCACTAATACTACTCAAGATTTTTTTCTTCTTTTTACTACAGGTCAGCCCAGATTGAGAATTCAGGACACCAAAGACATGACACAACACACTTTTCTCAGAGGATACACATAAAGAAGCTATTTTAGTGCTTCCATTAGCCTAAATATTTATTTCTGTGTATTAGAGTGTGCAAATTCATCCTGCACACCAAGAGAAAGTGTTTAAGCTGTGAGCAGATACTTCACAGCACCTCAACTGCACAGAGGTGAAAAACCTCAGTGTTCATCTTAGAATGAATTGCAGCAACTGTTGCCTTCACCACAAATGTGTCTTGTCTATAGTACATAAATACTGGAAAGACATTTTTTCCAAGGGCAATGCAAAGTTACACATCTCCACTGGCTGGAGAGTCCCCAGAAATCCAGGTCCTGCATCTTTCTCCACTGTCAATACATTCTTCAGTAAGCAATTCTTAAGGCAAATGTAACTCATCCAAAAATCACATCAACAACTGCAAAGGGTTACCTTGATACATAACATTATTAAATTACATTAAACGAAAACAGAAGTTTCACAACGCTTAGAGAATATGTGATTTTTCCCTACTGAGTTCAAGAACCTATGTCTAAATTTAAATGGCTACAACTCAGTATTTTAGCTGAGAATATCCCAAGCTTGCTCTTGCAGTATTACATAAAATTCAACTGTATAGTATTACTTTCCGTGTTACAGAGACAGGCAACTCTTAAGACCTAATCTTCAATATGGATTGTGAAAGAAGACATTTTTTCTTTTTGTGCTTGGAAAAAAATGCAGATTACGAAAGGAAACAACTTTATCTGCATTTCATTATGTCCATGAAAACCCACAAGGGAATGACAGAGAATCTGTCTTAGAAAACAATCTAATTCAACAGTATGAAAAGTAAGGACTTCATGAACCTTCGTATCATTTAACAAGAACCAGGAGTCTTGTATTATTTGGTGTTTTTCGTTGTATTGTATTTCTTGTTTTAGAAAATCATTCCTTTGAGACCACACTGAAAAATGGACATTCATAAAAACCAGCATAGCATTTAAGAATCAACGCCGTGTTATTAATTACTAGTTTAGTACATGCACAAACACACTTTGCATGTAACAAAGAGAACAATCAAGCGAGAATAAATTTTAGAAGCTACAATGTTATATCTATCCCTCTGCAGGAGAAGAATAATTTGTGACATCGACAAACTTTCCAGTTATTTTTATTTCTGATGGTGTCACTGAAGAGGTTCATCACTTTGTGCACTAGGTGTGCAAAATTTGACATTTTATTATTTATAAATTTACTCAAACATGCACATGTTTATGTATTTGTACACACATATGAACACAAATAAGTACACAGCTGTACTACACACATTACCAGATTATGACACTTGATGAATTTATGATTTCATTACATTGGTATATCCCAAAAATGTACCATAACAAATATTTAGATACTTAATAGATATCCTTGCCTGAAGACAATTTCTTAAATTCAGCCCACATTTCCTTTAATTTCGCATGACAGTCTAAAAACTTGGGGTTTAGATTTTTTCTTCAAAATTACATCTATTTTATAAAGCAGTATGACCAAAAAAAAAAAGAAAAAGAAAAAGAAAAAAGCTGTTAAAGCAACCTGCAATATTTACTTTATTTTTACACCAATCAGGAATCTCCACCACTACCAGGTTCTTAACTCTGCTAATTTAAATGAGACAAAAGCAGTCATCCTGCAGAAAATCTGCAGCAACACCATGTAGTTCCAGACAAACTGGCATATGTGCAGGGACAGAATGAGCTACTATAATTTCCAGTGAAACTGAATGGCATTAGGCCATGTACATATATATGAAACACAATGGTGAGTGTTTCATAAATCACAATAGAGGTTTCACAGTTCATTTTATAAACTTGTTTAAATGAGGATTTGAAAAATACCTTTCCTCATGCTCCCAGTGTCATACTTTCAGACACATCTATCACCACTCTCATTGTATTTTAAACACTTGTTAAAAATTAATTCCTTAACTGATCTTGTTATTACCTTGAACTTACTTTACTGCTATGGAGCCTCCTCCTTAAATCCCAGGCAAAACTGCTTTAGACTTCTTCTTGACTCCACTTGACCTCTGAGTGAAAGTTTGGCCTGAGTAAAGGAAAAGCGCGAGGAGTGCAGGGCTGAACCCAGGAGGAGAGCAACACCCCACCTGTTAAACTCCCTCTTCCCTGCCCTGGTTCATTATCTGAAGGAGAAAAACAGGAACAAAAAGCAAACCCTTGTCTCCCCCAGAATACTCAAATGCCATCTTAGAGCTCTACATGGGAAGGAAAAGAGTGACTTACCAGCAAAGCTGAAAGGTGTGAAGGGTGTGGAACTACCAGGGGACTGCGGAACAGCCGTGGAGCATGAGGGCAGCAGTCCTACATCCCGAGTGAGTGAAGCTTGAATGAGACAGAGCTGTCAGGTGCCCACATGCCATCAGCCACACAGATCTAAAAACTGCGCCGTGAGGAGTGTCCCGCCCCCCGCCCCAGATATACAAAGGAAAGATGAGCCTTTCTGGCATCCAAAGACTCAAGACCCTTTTTCACTGCAGAGAAGCAGGGACTCCAACTTTTGAGTATCTGTCTGAGAGGACTTCAGGCAAGTTAAAGTAACTAGAAGGGAGACCCTGTTCAAACTCCTCAAAGTACACTTTTATACTGTGGAAACAATTTAATTTTTTTCTAGTTTAATTCCAAAATGTTCCAGTAGGTTTCTCTCATTTCCCTTTAAATAAAAGAAGTAAATACCTCTAGTATCTCTGACTACTCAGTTCAATTAATTCTTTGTATCTATGTCAGGGTTTTAAAGACCTAACACACTTTCTAATAACATGCTAGGCTTATATGATTTCTTCAGTGAGTCAGCAATGAACCCAAATTTTTTTTGCCTACAGGAAAAAAAAGACACAAATGAAACAACTTTTTTGCTTATGACACTGGCAAATTTTTACTTCATCAAGCTTCATACCTTCCTAAGAATATTTATTCATCCCAATACTTTGCGTTGCTTGGGAGTCCTATGTGAACAAGTGAATAACTGGCATGCTTGGGTAACTCTTGGACCAAAGATGTGAACAGAGTGAGGTAACAGTCTGGTCCATGCAGGGAGGTCACCCGGCCGCTTTCCCCACTACGAGCAGAAAACGTTTGTATGGGCCAGATAACTCAGACCTCACCTCAAGGAACTCAGAAACCATCTCAGGTTATGCTCATGAACTCCATCATTCTGTGCAGCACCACTTAAAAGGTTTAAAGAAATTCTGCCTCTGCTTTATTTAAGACTTAAATTTACTCCAAGTGCTAAACTGGCTAGAAATGTACATCAGTGTTCACATGTTAGTGGCAAGTTTTAAGGAAGATATCACACGAGCCTATACAACCATCCTGGATATGAATATTTGTTGCTTTGTCCTCCACTGCATCTTCTGAGGTACTTGGTGAGGTGTGGACACTCGTCCCTGCCACACCAGCCTCTGTCACGGTCCCACCTGCGAGCGCCGCTGCCTGCAGACGGGTCCCTCGGTGTGGCAGGAACAGAGGGACGCTCGCGCCAGGGTCCCTCGGGAAGGCACTCGGAGCCGCAGGGCCCCTGCCACGACTCCTCCTCAGTAGGACGAGCAGGCTCGGCCCCGCCCTGCCCTTCCCTGGCGCCCATCCCACGGCCGGGGGACACGGCGAGCGGGCAGAGGCCCGGGCAGGCTCCCGCCCCCAGCGTGCCCGCGGACCGGGGCCGGCGGCGCAGCCCGGGGCCGCTCTACTTACGCTTGCCGGGAGGAAGGCTTTGGAAAGCAGCACGGGCGCGACTCCTTCGGAAGAGTGCGGGCGGAGATGGCGCACAGGTCGTTTAAGCGGGGGGAAGAGGCGCCCCCAAACTCGGCTGGGCTGAGGCAGAAGCGGCGGGGCGGGGCGGGCGGCGCCGGCAGCCCGTGCCCAGCGCCGAGCCCAGCGCCCTGCCTGCTGCTGCCCCGGGCACCCGGCCCTCCCTCCGCCCTCCCCTGCCCGCCTCCCGCCGCGGCTTCGCTCGGCGCGGCCCGGCAGCCCCTCTCCTCGCCCGGGGGGCTCCGAGCGGATTGTCTGCCGGGACTTTAAAATGCTTGTCGCTGTGCAGATGACCCATCCCACCGCCGCGGGATTTCCTGGGGAGTACAAGAGTTTATTTCCCGCTGAGGATAGAAGCGTGAGAAAGCCCTCCCCGCGCCCCGGCCCCGCCGGGGATGCGCCGCCCTCCGTCAGGTGTCAGCGATACCTGAGCAAAAGGGGGAAAAAAAACCCACCAAACCAACCCAACGACTTCTCCAAAACGAGAGTTCTGTCTCTGAGAGCAGATAAAGGTTGCAGGTGGTCCTGCATGAAGAGCCCCCCAAAGGGCTGCCAGCCCCTTTTTTTCTTTCCCTCAGACCCCTCCTCAGTCAGGATCAGCTGTCAAGCTGTTGTGTGCAGAACTTTTGGAAAAAGAAAACAACAACAACAACAAAAAACCCACAAAAAAACCCGCAAAACAGAGATCAGTTGTCACTGTTCTGAAAGTTATTATTTAAAAGTAGCTCTTGACATTTTCAGCATAAGTACTTCAAAATATTACTATCACTTATATTTTGGTTAGGCTTTTGTGTGTTCTGTAGTGTTGCCCCAGGGAAAGGAAAACAGCCACACAGCTGTTTTAGCAGCGTCTAAAGCAGAGTGGGAGGTGGTTCTGCTCAAAGCAGGTCGAGGGAGATGATTTCTCCCCTGCTCTCAGACCCCACCTGGAGTGCTGCATCCAACTCAAGGGGACCCCACCATTAGAAGGATGTAAATCTGTTGGAGTGGGTCCAGAGGAGGGCCATGAAGATAATCAGGGGGCTGGAGCATCTCTGCTGTGAAGACAGGCTGAGAGAGTTGGGGCTGTTCAGCCTGGAGAAAAGGGTCTAAGGAGACCATACAGCAGCCTTCTAGTTCCTAAAGAGACCTACAAGAAAGCCAGAGAGCAACTTGATTCAAGGGCATGTAGTGACTGGACAAGGGGGAAACTGAAAAGGGGTCGATTTAGATTACATTTTAGGAAGTCGTTAGTGTGAGGGTGGTGAGCCACTGGGAACACATTACCCAGGTAAGTTGTAGATGCCCCATCCCCAGAAGTGTCCAAGGCCAAGCTTGGGGGCCATAAGAAAAATGGTGTAGTAGAAGGTGTCCTTGCCCTTGGCCAGGGGAATGGGAACTAGATGATCTTTAAGGTTCCTTCCAACACAAACAATCCTATGGTTCTATGGAAGAATGACTTAAAGTGATATGATGACTCAACAACTCTTCAGCAGTAACATACGAGTTTCTCTTGGTAGCTACTCTACAAAGAAGAGTAAACAGAACCACCAGTCATTCCCAAGGCTTTATTTAGTTTAAAAAAATGCAATAAAGTTTTTGAGACACTCTGAGGAGCTGTGTGCAGCAGAGAACTGTTGAGGATCTGAATCCAACCATGCCCATGTTCTTGTATTTGTGCACTGCTTGATTGGTCCCTATAAACATTTCAGCTGAAAGCACTAGAGAGGAAGATCTCTGTTGACCCTAAGCACTAGAGGTGGCAATGATTGTTCAGAGATGGGTGATATATCTGAAACACAGTGCTGCCATGATTGTAAGTATATCACAAGGTTGATCCTGAGGCACTGGGGCATGAGAGGCTGTGTTAAGCTACAGGATGGAATCCCAGCAGCTGCAGTAACTCCTAACATTAAAATTTTTCTCATGCAGTGAAGTCTCTCAGCTCATAAGTTTTAATAGCATGAAGCACTGGGTGTTTCTCTGATGCTTTTTCACTCTCTGGAGGTTTTGAGTGGTATTTCCCACTCTCTGTACAAACTGGCCTTGACACCTGTGTTTTTAAGAAAAATATTCTTATTCAGGAGGGCAGTGAGATTCTAGAGCATCCTTTTAGTAGTGCCACAGAAGGTTTTTATGATAGAATCCTTTAAATTTCAAACTAGGAGAAGCTGATGCAGTGCCTGCCTGCCATGGGACTACACCCATCAGCTAACAATTTCCTTTCCAAGAATTCCCCTCCGGGTTCATGCAATAAGAGATTTGGTCTGTCAGCAAAACCCTCTGGATCATTTGTAGAAAACAGGCAAGGATGGAAAATCCATGGGGAAAACTTAAAGGAAGCAGTTTTAAAAGTGAAGAGCCAATTAAGTACTGGTGAAAGCCCAAGCATATGTCCTAAACATGAAAGCATATTGAGGACATGTGATTTGTTAGTCATATACTAGGACAGGAGTATCTGTAGCCAAGCAAGCAGTAAATAGAAAAAAGTCGGACTTGTCTCTCTAAGGAGTTTATTCAGAAGGAAAATAGGCTCATATTCAGTTAATGGTGTTCAAAAGTGCCTCTTCATGTGGACTTTCTGACAGAAAACTTGTCTCTCTAAGGAGTTTATTCAGAAGGAAAATAGGCTCATATTCAGTTAATGGTGTTCAAAAGTGTGGACTTTCTGACAGAAGGATTTCCTTGGAAGAGCCATCCTGTTAGTTTCCTCATTTCTCTTTAAAGAAGCACGGCATTGCTAGTTCTCATTATGTTTAAAGGGTTGCCTCCATTGGCATTAACACCAGACAGCAACACACAAGGTGTTAAGGTGACATTTAAATTTTTACATTAAAATGCACACTTACAAAATTTTCAGCCTTCCTTTAATTAACACAGAATCACAGAATGATTAAGGTTGGAAGGGACCTCTGGAGGTCATCCAGTCCAACATCCTTGCCAAGGCAGAGCCACCTACAGCATGTTACACAGGAACATGTCCAGCTGGGTTTTGAATGTCTCCAGAGAGGGATTAGTGATCTTCTTTAGTACTGTCTTTTGTCTTCCATCCAAGCCTCCACACAGGTGACAACCCCTGTTCCACATGTAGACAGACATTTAGCAGTACATGATGTGGCTGGCACAGAAACAAAGTGAATTCAGGAGGTGGAAACAGAGCAGTCAGGCAGGTATTTTTAAGATTAGATGAGTCAGGTTTTCATGACAAAGTACACAGAAAGAAAATTTAAAATAGACACCAAGCTTTATGAAATTATAAAAAGATCTTGTAAGTTAAGATGATATTTCTTGATTGGTCTTTGTCTGAACCAGAGCTGCTGCTCAACAAGACAAATAGACATTTTCAGATCTGTATTGATCTAAAACAATGTTTCACCCCTTGCTATTTCTAATGTAAATATCTCTTTTGAAATACAGAAGAGGATCACTCTTATGTAACTGTGCATCCAAGCACGGTCTGGTGGAAAGACCCCTATACTGTGGTACATGTCTTCAGTCATAAGCCATGCTCAAGTGACACGTGCTTCAACAGTGCTGACAGCAGTTTTATCCACACAGTCAGCCGAAGAAAAGAGCTACAAATGCCTTCAGTTCAGCCATTTGTGTCAGTGGAGAGCTGCGCTTGACATGCCACTGCCCTACAGAAGATGGCACTAAAGATATTTAAATTCTGCGAAAGGGTAATGCTACCTCCGGAAACACAGCTTGGATCGAGGAGGATTAAAATGTGTAGTTGTTTTCTACATAGAGGAATTGAAGGACTTCAGAATTAATTAAATAATAAATAACATGGCAATAAAAAGATGGAAGTTGTAGTTTGATCTCGTATTATCAACTCATTTTTATTATTGTACCAGCTAGTGATTAGTGTTCTGTTCTGTTCGACACTACTGCTAAGCACATCAGAGGAGGCAGTGCAAGAACTGGTGTCAGGTAGTATTATTATTTCTAGTTTTGTAGGATGAAACTGTAAGTTCTAATGGGTAGGAATGGAGGCACAGGAAGACTAAATATCTTGTCCTAGGTAATATGGTTCTGAAAATAGCACTGAGACTCTAGGCTGGTGTTTCACCCACCAGAACCAGCTTCCTCTGGTCCTTTCTGATTCTTTCCTTTGGAAACATGGGAAGTCTCCTAACATTACAACAAGAACAACAATAAAATCTGAATGTTCTGGGATATGGAACAGCAAGATTTTCCTTTGGAAACATGGGAAGTCTCCTAACATTACAACAAGAACAACAACAACATAAATCTGAATGTTCTGGGATATGGACCAGCAAGATGCTTTTGATTCATCTTCATGGAATCTAAAGCTCCATGTAAGATGTAGCAGAGGAAGAACTATAACTGTACAAGCCAGGTATCTGTTTGGAGGAAGAATCAAAAAGAGAGACATAGGACATGCAGACCTCTACTATCATTCTGTATGATGCTATTTTTTCTCTGTAAAAAACCAAAAATATGAAATAAAAATATTGGTGTTTGAAACACATTGATTCCTGCCACAACAGGAATCTGATCTGAAGAAAAACAAATTTAGAATGCAGAGTTCAAATAGTTCACTGCTGAGTTAGTGAGTTAAATCAACTCATGCAAAAATTGAGGAAAAATTGTGTTGGAGCAAGGAAGAAGATGGCCATTAGCTGAGAAGCAGGGCCAGCAAAGAGGAATAGGGAGTATGGGAGGGTACAGAAGCAAAGGGAAAATAGGCAGTTATGGTTTTTGTCTTTCTAGTAGCAGTCACTCAGGAAAACACAGCCAGAGGCTGTGGTTTGAAATTGCAGCATGCGCAGCAGCAAATAGACTTCTTGTTGCCGTTCCCTCCATCCCTTCCACTGAAGCTCTTCTTGCCCAACACCGTGGCCTACTGCCCACGGTCTTGTCAGTGTGGAAGTTCATATGGCCTCCCTGTAATGAGGCTGAAGGAATTAATCCATCTGAAAAACAATCCAGCAATGCAAAACATTTGTTTCTTCATCAGCTAAAACAATGGGCCAGTCCAGTGCTGAGCACAGCTGTGCAAACAACTGTGCTGGCTCGGTGCAGGTCCTGGAGTTGGAGGCACCGTGTTGAATGGCGTGGGAGAGAGAGACAGACAGGATAACAATGAGCAGGAAGGAATGACATCAGTATGAATGCCCTAAACTAGTATTGCCAGTGGGCAGTTCATTGTGCCAAACCACAACCAAGGCTTCTAAACAAGGATGTTCTTTCTCATTTTGTTCAGGATAAAAGCAAATACAGTGTGTTTTACCAGGAATATACCTGGGTGTCATGCATGATGAACTTGTAAAGGCCTCAAATAATTACTGCCTTACACAGAAAGGAACAGCAGTAGGCATCTTGCTTTAAAATAGAAAAATCGGTATTATGTAAGGGAAAATTCCTCTACAAAATTAAAAATTCTTCACAATGTGATGATCTGCCGTTAAAGAAATCAGTAGCACAAAGTGGCATGCCATTGGTGGGAAATAATCTCCTAGCTGCAGACCAGGCTTCAGTGAACTCCACCACTCTTTGCACATATAGGAAAATGGGCAGCAAAACTGAGCAGTGATCAGGGTTTCAATCTTTCTCCTGTCGGGACAAATGCCTGTTTTGCGAGACACACAACCAAGGCATAAGGAGTTTTTTATTAACTGTGCTGAGAAGGAAAAAAAAATCCATCACTAATTTCATTTGTATCAATTGGAATTTTATTTACTCACAATACCACCTCATATACATAGTTAAGTGGAACATATTATACCACACCAATGTCTTATTACAGTTGCTAAAAGCACAGAGGACCCATGTTGACAGAGATGATCCTGGGCAAACGCTGCACTGCAAACAGACTTTTGGGTGCTAACAAGACTGAAAACTTAATTTCAAACATCCTGGTTCTGACAAATCTTGAATTCATACCAGTATGATGTTTTTTTCAAGTCAATCACGCTATTGTGTAATGTTCTACGGATGATCTTCCACAAACTGCAGCTCTTCTTTACAAAACTGGTCTTTGCTTCAGAACAGGTCTCCCGTCTGTTCTGCATCAAGTTTTGCAAGTGCTTCGTGTTTCACAATAGAAGCACTTACACCTTCCTACCTTCTAAACTGCTATTGTTAAACCATTTCTGCCGGTGATAAAGATCTTATTAATCCTAAGTATCTTCCCATGTACCCGTAGCTCCTCCCAGCTGCATTCAGTTTATCCCATTTGGTGGATCCTGATGCTCTGACAATGAGTGATTAATAACTATTTTACTGCAATACACAAAAGCTTCTATCATGGCATAGACAGAAATTATGCTTGACAAATCTGTTTTGCAATGTCTCATTCAGTCTTCTATCAGATAACAGTGAGGGAATGATGTAGTCAATTTGCTGCTCTGAGTCTTTGTGCACGTGTGTGTGTAGAGGAATAGACTGGTTTTTTTTTAATCTGTGCTGGACAGATTGTGGAAGCTGTTTAAACTGCATATTAAATACTCAGTCCTTGGAAAGGATGCAATACCTAGGGCAGGGACATGACAAAATGTAAGCAGACATTAACCTAATGATGCAACATAAAATAGGTTTGAAATCTTTACCACAAAATAATATTTTTTCTGGCACCTGTTGCAATGATCTTAGCAAACAGTGTTTGATTAAACTGTGATCCCTGTGAACATGACGCAGTTGTCACCTTTATCTTTCAGTTGGGAAAACTCAGGAACAATGAGAGTCAGGGTTGACTCTGTGTACCAGGACTGCCATTATACTTTCAAATCAAGTGAAAGAAGTCTTGTGATGAAGGAAATGTTGATAGTTGGATACTAAACAGATAGCAAGTTTTCCAATCATCACAACAGAAATGCAGCATTCCTCCTGCTGACGTGTGGATCGCTGAGAGGTGTGGAAGGAGTTTTTATATATTGTCATAAAGATTGAACCTCCACAGAAAAGTATCTGCAGAACACTTTTAAACCCTATTTCATTATCTCATCTTACCCATTTTTAAGGCTGCTACTGTCTTTCCCAGATGATGTGTCTAAATTGACACAATTACCCAGACAACAGAAAATACACATCTTGCATAAGCAAGTAAACCTGCCCAGCACAGCTTGTCCATTGAAAAATGCCTTGTGCTGTCTGCACCACACACTACAGTATTCCTTTTCCTGGGGGCTGTGCCAGGCTATGACTGGAATGCTGGTTCTTAGCAGCACACAGAATATATGCTGCTGTTCAAAATATCCATCTACAATCTGCAGTCATTCATGGCTCAACTCTGCAAGTTCTAAGTTCACTGAAAACATACTTCCCTAAACTGTACATCATTCTGGTGCTGTATCACTCCTCTACCACAAAGATTTATGCAAGCAGCTGTCAGCCTGGTGGTATTCTTGGAGAGGATTTTAGTAGATGGCCAATTCAAATAAATGGATTTGACTATTCAAATACATAGATGTGTAATCTCTGAGTTAGTGGCAATGATTAAACTCTCAGAAAAGGGAGAAGGTAAGTGCAATGAGAAGGTAAGTGCAATTCTGACATTTAAATCTACAGGAGGATGGGGGACCAACCATAGCAAGAGCAAGGAATGTTCTCAGAGATGGAGAGTCTGAGATGTGACTTGTTTCCTCATCTGGGCCTTCCGAATTAAAGATCAATGCATTTCCAAGCCTAGGTGATAAAGACTTTCATTTGGTGGCTAGGAAACTTTGTATAGAAAATAGCCAAGTCAAAGTTGAGCCAGCTTTATAGAAGAGAAATATAATCCATAAGAGAAAATGACAATGACAAGCTAGGTTGGTCAGATGGGGACAAAAGTGTAGACATCTTCTGAACTATCTTCAAAGTCATTACCATTAGTCTTAGCTCATTAAGCTTCAAATAGTTACCATTACTCTTGCCACTGTTTGCAAACAAGTTCAAATGACTGTGTAGATAATAAGATGGTGAAAAATCAAAGGACCCTGTAATTCATTGTCAGGGTAGTGGCTGTCCTAAATATCAGAACAGGTGAATAAAAATACAGTGCAATTCTTTGAGTGTGATTTTTGGGTTTGCCCCGAAACCTGAAAGTTTCGGGGCAAACCCCATTAGCCTAATTTTCAGGTGAGGAAATTATAATTAGAGGAAAAAAAAAGATTAATTTTCATCAGGTTTAGTTTCTAGCAAAGTGTTCTTAGCTGTTCCTTACTGCTACAGTACACTTTTTGCAAAATAAAGCAGCTTGTAACAGAAGTGCTATTTTGAATTGAACCTCCATAGTACAGGAGTGCATTTCTCTGTATGAACCATATGTATTTTATATTTGTCCTATCAGATATAAAATAACTTAGAACGCTGTCTTATAATTAACTGTAAACAACCAAAGGATATTTTTATTTTTGTCTATAAAAACCTTTAATAAAGGTACTTCTATATCCAGAAGTCATAAATACAGGTCTATACTTCTGGTTTCCTTTGAAACCACCCTTTCTCCCATGGTAGTTAGGATTTCTTTTTTCTGTCTGGATCCATGAGTTACCAATGAAGTTTGCGTCCCCTCATCTCCTTACTCTTCTAACAAACATGTTGGTAGTTTTGGTTTTGAGGTGTTGGATAGAAGTTTAATCTAATTGAGTCAATGGTGATTTTTCCTAGCAATTTCAGTCGAAGAATAATTTCAGCCAGTCCCATTCCTACACTCCCCAGTTCTGATACCACATTATTAGACACTTCATGGCCTGGCTATGCTGGACACTGAACATTGAGGAATCAGCTGCTCAGATTTGCTCTTAAGTTTTCAACATGCTTTGCAATCTTTATTCTGAGGAAAGCCTAGGAATCAAGTACCAAATACAGACACTACTAGTGAATTTCAGGAAAGAAGACACAATTTCAACACAGCAATATATTTTAATCTGTATGAAATCCATTTGTAAGTCAGCTGTGCAATGTAGCACATGTAGAAATAGGTGCGATTTCCATGTTCCTATAAAGTATCTGATTTTTCTACAAAGCAGTCTATTCAGCCAAATTAAATATGCACAGATCTCAGAGCTATCATTGCCTGATGCTGCAGATCTGGATCAAAGCCCTCTCTTGGCTACATCCAAACACTTTTCCCAGTTCTATCTTTTTTTGCTGTCTGATAATCTTGTTGCCAGACTGCTAGTTGAAGACAACTTCATAGTGTTAGTGTTAACAGTTTTGGTGTGTCTCATTCAAAGTTCCAGCTAAATTCAAAGGTAGGAGGTGAAAACAAACTCTTTCCCTATGGAGCTGGTTAAGTTTATCATTTGCCTTTTCCATCTGCAAGGCTGTCTTAAGCAGCATATTTTATTGCAAGTGGAGATTTCTGAGTAACAGGCAGTGGAACCAGTGAAAACACCAACCTGCAGCAGAAGGCCAAAATCCTTACACTAGCCCTTGGCTATTGAGTATAGTACTGACACATACGTTTTCCACTATGGTAAACAGATTTTTATTAAACACATTAGGTAACACACAGCATGTATAAGTAATACAGAAAACAGACACCACAAAAGTGCTTTAATTATAACTTCAGGGGAAAAAATATCTTGTTACAAAAGAAATGTAATACTAGAGCACTGGGACTAGTTTGCTCTCTGTACATGTACATGGAATAAGCAGGAGCTCTATCAAGCACAAACCTGGTATGTGCCAAACTGTTCTTTGGAGTTAAGTTGGATGTTTTCACAGTCGAAGTTTCCAGTCCACCTCACGATGAATGACTTTCTATCTTTTTTTCATGACTATCAAGCACAAACCTGGTATGTGCCAAACTGTTCTTTGGAGTTGAATTAAGGATGTTTTCACAGTCCAAGTTTCCAGTCCAGCTCACTATGAATGACTTTCTATCTTTTTTTCATGGTTCTGAGGATGGTGTTTTCATGGTTTTCTTGCTTTCCTCTTAGATGACAGATTTCCATCTGCAGTCAAGTTGTATCACTGGATGTAGCTCACAAGCGAGGTAAGCCTATTTATGCTCCACTTTCAGTGCACAGTGAAGGGTCATGGGCCTTAATTCATGCAGCTTTGTTTACTCCAACAGTGACAAATCCAAATGTACAGTAAAAGATGAATGCAAATAGAGAAGCTGAGCTAGTGCTCATTCATTTTGGGGAAAAGCCAGTTATTAAAGCTAAGGAGGAGAAACAGTCGTTCAATGGGCAGGCACTTGGGAGATCAACTCTGTTGCCCTAAGTGCCATATGCTGCCCATTACAGCATAAACCACCTCATTTTGAGACTTCTTTGAGACCAGACTGACTCATATAATACTTCAAATTAGTAATATACAATTTACAGCACAGCAGTGTGAACTTTAAAAAAATATCAAGTTCCTCCTCATTTCTGATCAGGTTCCTTTGCTGTTTTAGCTCTCCAAGCTGTCTGGAATTCCTGCTAGGCCAACTTTAAGAAAAGGAATGGTGATTTAATCTCACTATGTGGAAAGTCAGAGAGACTGGGAGTGGTTTGCTCAACTCATTTGAAGGGCACCTCAGATAGGGAGAAGGTTTTATGAAAAAAAGCTGTGCAGGCTAGATAGAAAAAAAAGGAGAAATGGAAGGAGCACTGGATATCATGCTGTAAGTTGAAGCACTTCTTTTGGATAACCAGCAGAACAAAAAAAAGGTTTTTTCTTGGTTTTTATTGGGGAAAAAAAAAAGAGTATACAGCTGAGTGAGGCACAGGTGGTTAAACATCTCTTTATCAGATTAAGTCTACTGTACCAAGATTCTTCAGTATTGTGAGAGAACAAGAGAAGTTGTTGCACTGCCTCCCTCCTCCCCTACTTTTTTTCATCTGATCAAGAGAAAGGAACTTCTTTCCTCCCACTGCTGTAGTCTCTGTGACTATGGGGAGGCAGCACTGACCTAATGGCATTCACAGGCAGTTGATACTGGCCATCCCCAGCACTTAAGGAAATGCTTCTCAGTGCAGGCAAGAAGATGAGAAGAAAAAAAAACCATGCTGGTGCCCAGCAAAGCTGACAGCATACACTGCCAGAGTATCTGTGCTCCTACACAATTTTCTTGCTCTCCAGATTACTTAGAGAGGACACCTAGTATAAACACAATCACCTCCCTGTCTTCTTCCTTCTCAAAATCTGTGATATGCCTCAAAAAATCCTTTACCCCACTTTTCACCAAAAACCTTTGATACTGTTTTGCCTCTGAGCCAAGACACTGTGTGATTTCTGGATCTCCTCTGGGCACTAGAGCCTTCTCTGGTCCTTTCCACTCCCCATGTTTGAAGAGTTAACTGTCCCAACAGTAGGATCCCAGCAGCAGGCATACCTGGAGAAGCTGGTGCCAGAAGGCCACGCTCTCCAATTGTGGATGCAGGAATACTGAATTAGCTTATGATCTTTAAAACCTGCCTCAGCATCACCTTCCCAGGGAGGCTATCCATTTTAAAACACAAAAGAACATTCATTTTTTATCCTTTTCCTTGAGTATGAAAATATTGTTTATTACTTTTTTATACCTAAGAAAGTTGAAAGGAAATGAGGAGCCAGTAAATCCTGAAAATGGGGACTTATTTCAAAACTGCTGCTTTCCCAGATTCTTTCATGCAAATTTTTATCACTAGGTAGCACAACTCAGCCAGATTCAACATCATGCAGATCCCAGATACAGCAAGCATGAAAATAGTAAACGTGGTTTTCTCAGTGGGCCGAGACACAAAACAATCCACAGTGTTGGGGCAGGGCCAAGCGTCGCACTTCACCAGGCGGGGCATCTGGTAGCCATCGTACATGTAATAGAACACATACATGAAGACAGCCTCAAAGATGATCCTGAAGAAGATGCTGCTGGTGTACGTCCACCACAAGGGGCCCCGAATGTGAATCCTTTCATTTTTCAGCTCTTCAATATCAATTTTCTCACCATTTCTGAACCGCCTTTTCTTCTCATGCCTGGTGTAAGCCACATGCATGGCCACCAGCAGCGCAGGTGTGGAGACAAAGATCAGCTGCAGGGCCCAGAGTCTGATGTGAGAGATGGGGAAAAAGTGATCATAGCAAACATTCCTGCAGCCGGGCTGAAGTGTGTTGCAGACAAAATCTTGTTGTTCATCTCCCCAGACTCTCTCTGCAGCCACAACCAGGATCATGATACGGAAGATGAAGAGGACTGTGAGCCATATCTTCCCGATACTGGTGGAGTGCTTATTTACACCTCCCAAAACACTCTGCAGAGTTCCCCAGTCCATCTTCTCTTCTGTGTCCTTTTACCTGCAGGAAGACACAATACACAGAATGGTCACTTTTCAAACTGTGAAAAATCAACTCTAAATCTGTGAAAAAAAGAGAACTTCCTAACAGTCTCACCAGAGCCATAGGCAAGTGTGTCACTTTCATTTATGTCACCCATATGTTTATGGATTCAAACAACTTATTAAACTCTCTCTTTCCATCAGTTTATGATGGGACAAGCATACCTCAGTGTATTTCTCAACAAGCCTTTGGGCAAGAAATAGGTACATCTTAATACAGTTCCTCTGTACATCATCTATGTTCTCCTTCCCTTTTCTGTGGTGGGCTCTGGTCAGCATTTTGCCTTTCATTGTACTTCCCAAAGCAAGAGAAATCACTATCACTATGAGTTAAACCACATCTAGAGAAACGAGAGTCTTCTCGAGCATTTTTTTACAGTATTTCTTTACCACCACCACAGCCCTAGAAGGCTGAGGTGCTTTCTTTGTCCTAGAGGTAAGTACTACTTGGCCTTTTTCAGCAGAAGTCCTTGCTCCACACAGACACCTCCAGCAGGCCTGCAAGGCTTTCTGTTGCAGCTCAGACAAGGCCCTTAATCTCAGAAGTACAACATTTGAATTTGCCAACACTGGTGAGAGCTCTGTCAGGGCTGCATGCTTATATAGCCCAAACCAGCAAGCAAAGGCAGATAAAGCAGAGCCTGCCCTTCCACATTCATTGCTATGTCATCCAAAAAAGGAGGCAAGCAGAGTCACAGAGTTGAGAAGAAAAAGCCCTCAGCTGAAGAGTTTATGTTGATTTTCTAGATGCTATCACACTCCAGCAGAATACAGAAAGTCAAACATCAGAGCAGTTCCATTTCAGCTTTCCTCCCACTCTTAAAAACTAAAATCCACTCTTTGCCCTTTTGAAAGTTTTGCTGAAGTTCAGACTTCATTCTCAGGGCTCAGCTTTCACTGATTGCAGCCATTTGGAAACTATCACCGAATTGGACAAAACACTTTGAAACCCGACCTGGGAGCCTGCATAGCTGGTCCATCATGTCAAGGCTAGACTGGGAGAGCCACACAGGCCATGGAAAAGAGCTCCATCTCCTCTTGGTGCTGGCTGTGTGCTGTGGGGAGAGCATGGTACCTTGCAATGCAACACAGGCCCAAAGTTTACAAAAATCTCTCATTCTCACACAGCAGAGAGGGGAAAAAAATGAAGACCTTTTTACCCTGGTGTAGTTACATCTCAACCAAAGGGCAAAACGTGCCCCAACACATACCCTTGGTACGAGGGCCCAGCCTGTACTGACAAGCCTGGAGGCAAGAGGGAGAGGTCAGATTTACTGTGATGCGGAAAGGTAAAATTGGGTAAGGCAAAAAAGAAAACAACTTTGAGAACATGACTGGAATTCCTGAGACTGCTCATGCTTTGTCTCTGCTGAAACTGGCACCATCTAATGCAACATTTTACACTGACTTAACCTGCCGGCTATGATGAGATAGCTGCATCATTCCGGTAAGAATTCCCTCATATCTGTTGCACAGTCATTAAAATTAAGTCAATAAAACCTTCACAAGAAGCTAATCAGTACTGAAGGAAAGTCTGGGAAGTGCATATCGCCGAGCTGAACAGCCTGGGTTCCAAGTGCCATCTCACACTGCAGTTCTGAACCAAGCCTGCAAGTTTTGGGGGAAGCAAAAAACTTTTCTCCCTCTCATCCGCCACTACCAAAACACTGCAATTGGCTGTTAGTGAGCCAATTTACCCACCAAGACACGGCTATTGAAAACCACTCCAAATCCCCACTCTGGGTTAGGAGCTGGATCGCAGCCCTTCCCTCCCTCCGCGCCGACCTTTATCCCGCCGAATTCCCGCGCGGCTGCGAGCCTTCAGCGGAGGGCAGCGCCGGGATTACCGCGGCACCCTCGGCAAACAGCGGCTCTGGCTCGGCGGTCCGACGGCTCCTCCGGGACGGGCTGCGCGGTCCGCGCCCCCACCCCGCTCCTGCGGCCGCCCGCGGAGGCGGCGGTGGGAGGCCGGGGCGGGGCCGGGCCGGGGTCCGGGTCGCAGCCGGAGGTGCTGGGTGAAAGCTGGGGGTGCTGGGCTCTGCCGTGCCCGCGGGGCGGGAACTGCTGCGGGCCGAGCGGGACTGGGGACGGTGCCGCTGCGGGAGCGCCCTGGGGTTCGCCCGGGGTGTCCATGAGCAGAGAGCGCGCATCGAGCGGAGAGGACCCGGTAGCCTGCAAATACGGGCCGGCACCGGGATTGATTCCCAAGTGTTGGCAGAAAACACGTCCCGGAGGGAAATCGGGCCCCGGGACGCTCCGAAACTGTCCCTGAGCTGTGGCAGCCGGAGGAAATCGTCACCTTGCAAAAGTTGGGACAATGTTGTGATAAAACGTAGCCCCCATAGATTCCTCCTCCCTGGGGTGGGGCAGGGCTACAGAGAGAAACCTCAGAGACCTTCTTAGAAGGCAAGGAAGCAGGTAAAGTAGAAGTCTTTTTTGGAAGACAAGGAGTAGGTAAAGTAGCTAATAATTGAGAATTAAAGAATTCTTTTGGGTAGCCAGATGTAGGCAGGCATAACAAGGGCATCAGGCAGCTAAAGGCAGGATAGAAGTGAGATGCTTGGTTTTCCTTTGAAAAGGAATTCCTCACTAGGGTGCACAGCATTGATTTCAGTGCTACTGCGCAAAGGGAGTGAGGATTAAAGTTGTTTTTTGTGAGAGAAAGTAATCTAGCAGGAAGTACAAAGTGACTCGAATCAGAGTTACTTGCCATGTGAAGATCTGTCACTAGGTGTTTGTCTGGTGATTGAGCTCTGTTGTTCACAATTAAAAAAAAAAAAAAAAAGTTTGTTCTTTTTATAGTACTCTTTAAGCCCCATCTTTAAGGAAAGGTTTTGTGGACAAAGTCCAGGCCAGCCAGGCATGAATTACTT